ACCATAATGATATCATTACTGTTTGGGAGAATTCCTGTCTTAATCCAACAATTTTGAATGGTTGTTTCAGTGACATTATTCCAAGCCTCTGCAATAAAATAAATAGCTTCTTTTACATTCAGCTTATCTCTAAACATATGCTTCACCATCTGATCTAATTATATTCCAAAACCTTCCATTTTTTTAAACAAATTATTAATTTAAAATCAAATGAATTCTGAAAAAATTTTGAGCAAGTTTCATTTGATTATCTGCTACTTATTCAAATCTCTTAAAAATGGTTAGTGTTTGGATTTATGTTAATTTAAATATAACATCATTAGTATGAATATATAAAGTTCTTGCCACTGTCTTTCTGAAAGTCTTCCCTTACACAATGAAATGATTGCATAATCTAGGTCCTCAATTACATATCAAACTCCTTCATCTAAGTCTATTTTTATCATTGTTGCTTTTGTGTTATTACACGTTCCTTCTGAGGTTGTTTCATTATAGTCTTCTAACTCAGGATATCAAATAGAGTGCTTGCTATCTCCTGCTGTCTAAACTGACTCTGAATACATGGATTCTGAATTGCAGCCTGATTCTGTCTCACTAGTTAAAACTGATTCTTATTTGTCAAATTTGCTTAAAATCTACTTTGTGTATATCTTAGATGTTTTCTTCATCTTCCTTTCACTGTGGATCTTTATTTCAGATCAATATTCTCATCTCAACAAATGTGTAAAAGGTTTAATTTTCCTCATAAATGATGAAATATATTTACTCAGTGCTTGGTACTTGTGACCCAATATACTTGTTTTATCTGGAAAATGGATGGGTAATGTAATTACTAATATGTAATTTTTCTTTTAACAAGTTCTCAGGTTTAGTAAATGAAACAATATAAAATAAACAGGATTCATGAATACCTTTCCACAATTTTATACATTGTGAAATACACCATGCCTCAATGTAATGTATTATTTATTTATACAGGACACAGTAAAGATTATGAAAGCAAAATCCCACTCACTATGAATTTATATGTTTAGGAAATACAAATATGCCATAGTGGTAATTCTAACATCCCCAACACTAATGATTCCAATAATCTAGCATCATCTAATCGAAACCTAAACCTAAATACAATCACAGCAGAAACAATACTTATAACTAACACCACCTGATATAGTTGGTGAATAATTGATAACATTAATAATAAATACACAATGAAAACTTATGATAAAATCATGTGATATAAATTAAATGCAAAAAAAATTTTTTATTTAATAATTTTAATAATAATAATAATGATAAACATCAAATAAATATATATGTATATAAAAAAAAAATTAAAAAATATAACGATAATATTAATATCATTATTGACTCATAAATTCGTCAATTCAACATTGTTTTGCTTCTTGGGGTACTTCTATAACCGATAAGAAATAATACACTACGCGTCATTTATCTTATAAAATTGGACTAGCCAAAAAAGGCAAGTATCATTATTATCCGCTGCCCATGCAGACAATTTCCGAAAGGTTACATACACCTTTATCCCTCAGTTCGTAGGGATAGAGAGGAATATCCCCCCTTATCAATCTTATCGATCTTTGGATATCGGTCGGATAATTCACTCAAGATCTACAGACCAGGTGATCAAAGATATATCCGTGCATTTTAATTTATATTTTATCCCGGAAATTGTCCACATATGGTGATTATCCGTGACATATTAATATTAATAATAATATTATTATTATTATAGAAAGATTTAGTTTTGAAAATTTATCTGTTAAACCCTAAATCCGCTAAACCGAGACTCACTGAAAAATGAACATCTTTAAATTCTTCATCTACATGATCTCCAATTGTTGTAAACAAATTTTTATTTTTTGTTAAATGTTGAACTGGAATGAGTTTGATGGTGGATTATTATTATTATAATTAAAATCACAATATAATTACAACAAATTTTAAATGCTATTTTTTTTCTTTCTTGTATCTCGTAGATCCATTGAAACAAGGTTTAACTGTGTTCCCTTACCTCCTGGTTTTTTGGAAACATACTTTTCCATTGGTAGACATTGATGTTAAAGAAAATGATATATATATGGATTTAGATATATTATTAATGCACAATTAAAAACCTGATACATGCTATTGTAACAAAAAAATTAATGTTTATTATTTTTATTTATTATAATATTCAAATAAAATAAAATTAAGAAAAAGAAATTCTTTGCATTTGATCCATTTGATCATAACCAGTTAAAAACGAGTGAACTTTATTATAATGACCCATTGATTGTTGTTTGATATTAATGAAAAGCTGTTTTGGTGATAGCCACACACATGTTTAAGGAATGTCAAATATGTTGGAAATAAAATGGAAGGAATTTGGAATCTTTTTTATTTAATTATTATAAATTATAAAATAAAGTAAAATGGTATAAACATGTGCATACATTATAGAGACAATCCTATTTGTGGTCAAGGTTGGTGATGAAAATATTTTGGTGTAAAAATATTTTATCGATAAAAGTGACGAAAGTGACAAAGGGCAAAAGTCAAAAGTCAAAATGTATGGCAAAGGTGATAAAGGTGACAAAGGTGACAAAAGTATAAAATCATGTTGCTTGGACACTTATGTAAAATTTTAATAGGAATCGCTGCTTCACATTTATTGTTGGTTTCATAACTTTCTTCAGAATCTGTAGAATTATCTGATAATTGTTGAAATGCTTCTTCATTTACTAGTTCTAAAAATTCATTCATTGATTCATTAACTAATTCTAATGGGTCATACATAATCTGAATTATTATTATTATTATAATCTTCTAATTCCGTATCCTCGTCCATTTTATCATTGTTTTCTATTTTTTTTTTTTTAATAATTGGTTTATTTTTATTGTTGATTTCATCATTTTCGTCACTTATCAAATCCCTTAAAATGTATAAATTCTATTTTTGTCACCCAACTTTGATGAATAATAAGAACATTTCATCCAAATTTCCAACGACAATAATATTTTACAAATAATAAAAAGATGAATGCGAACAACAACAATATTTTGCCCAAATTTCAAATAATAATAAAAAAGATCGAATTCTTATAATCCTACACAATTAAAACCTTTGAAAATGTCTCGACAACAATCATCATCATCATCATCCATTAAAAAACATGTATATATATTCTGAATAAAAACGTGAATTATATTTATTAATATTAAAATAAAAATAAAATGTATATATTTATATTTATATTTATTGCTATTGTAATTTATTAATATATATTTATATTATTTATTAACATTTATATTTATATTTATATTTATTAATACATATTTATTAATATTATTGTATTTATTGTTCATTTAAATAAAATTTATATTACTATTGTATATTATTGTATTTAATATTCATTTATTTAATAACCATTAAACAATATGAATATAATAGTAATGAAATTTTGCAAATAAGTAAGAAAATATAAATAAAATTAATTCTTAGTCATAATGATTATATTCATTCGAACCATTATTTCTTCGTGGGCTTTAAACTTATTTATCCGAGTGAATCTTTTTGGTTATTTAATCATTATAATTATAGCATTTACGGAGGTGTAGAAGATGAAGTAGCTTTTGTAGTATCGATATTGGTGGTGTTGGTAATAGCGGGTATTAATGGTGTTTTTGTAGCAGTGGCAGCAGCAGCAGCACTGGTTGTGGTGGTTAAAGGAGGTGACGATGATGATGGTGGTGATGATGAGGATGTAAGAGTTATTCCTTTATCAGATGTTCCGAGATTTGAGGATGATGGGTTGATAAGAGCAGCTGATAGATCAACAATGGCTTGAATACCTTTATCACTTGTAGAAGATTCTTCAATATTTTCAAATGGTTGTTCTTCGTCGTCAGCTGATGAATTATCAATAACAATATTATTTGGAGATTGAGTATCTACTTCTTCTTGAAGTTTTTCAGCAACAGAAGAATCTTCTTGTTCAGCCAAAACTTGTTCCCAATCTATACTGTTGTCTACAGCAGCTTCAAGATCGGCAAAACTTCTACATAAAGGACATAAAAATCCTGAATGATGAGAAAACAAAGTTGGCCGTATGCATTTGTAATGAAAAACATGCGAACAAGGTGCAAGAAATAAAGCTTGATAAGGTCCAATTCCACCCAAACAAATACAACAATCAACTATTTGTTGTTTTGTTCCTTCTATATTTCCCATTTGAGTTATTTGCTTGAATTGTTTTAAAGCATTTAAACTATAAATTATTAAACATTAATTATATTAATCATTAATCCATTTAATGAAAATTATATATATATATATAATAAAGATTATATAAAAACCTAAACTGATTAATTGGTCTTCTCCATGAATAATTTAATTCTATTCTCATCTTCACACAACGATAAATTTCTATATATATAATTAATTAATAATCAAAATAATTAAAACGTATTGTTGGTGGAATAAAAATAAATTTCTTTACCTTCAGTTCCGCCTTGGTAGTCAACACCAAGTTGTACAACATCTCCATCATTTAACAAGAATGCTTTACTTTCTGAATTTGGAGGTGACAATCTTACATGATTAAGAAATGTTCCTGAAGAAGATTTAGTATCTTTTATGAGAAACTTTACAAAAAAAAATAAACCGGTAATTATATTATTAAAAATTTAATTATTTTAATTATCAGATAAAAAATAGTTGTCATTGTTGTTGTTGTTATTGTTGTTATTACTATTATTATACCTTTCCTTCACTACACCAAATTTCAGCATGGCCTCTTGAAACAACTTTACTTTTAAAAGCTACTCTGTTTGGAACATGAGCTTTATCAGTAAAACGTCCTATTTTAATCACAACATCTTCAGGAACTTCTCTTTCAATGATGTTAAAATGTAAGGAACGAGAGCCTTCAATATGAGGTACTATACGAAGTGCAGGGACTTTAGGTTTTTGATCTTGAGACAACGCCTGTAATTCTGGTGACATTTCACAAGTAACTAAGACCAAACATAAAGTTCCATATTTATTATAATTAGATGGATTAGTTTAATAACAATAATAATAATAATAAATATTTATTAATTATTATTATTATTATTACCTTTTCTCGAAAAAATACTTTAGTTATTATTATCTGATGTATTGACATTATATTATTAAATTATAAATAACTCGGTTACTTCAAAAAAAAAATTTATAATATTTTTAATTAAAAAAAAAAATATGTATAAAAAGACCATACATACCTTTCTTTATACTTAAACTTTGCTTTGCATTTATATATATTTATATTTATTTTTTTTATGATTCGTGTAACGAAAATTTGGAGTAAACATTTTTACCCTTTTAATTGTTCATTTAAAAAAACATGACTATCAATTTTTTCCCTATTATTGAAAGATGAAACCTTTAATTTCCTCTAACACTAACGAAAATATAAAACAAACATATCCATATTAATATTGATAATTACTTCGGAATCCTATGTATGGTGTTGTGTGATATTTGCTAAAACTTGTGCTATAATAATTTTCTTCAATAACATAATTAAGTTGGGCCAAAATTTTTCACCCCTTTTGATAAGTCGGGTCACGAGTGACTATTATTTCAAGAGCATGTGACTTAGTGTCAAAAATTTCATTATTATATAGTTAGCGCAAACTTTACTTTCTGTCCTACCTTTCGATTTTAGTTTTATTAGTTGACAGAATAGGCCTCTTGTTTTAACGTAATGAAGAGATTTTCCCAAAAAAAATTATTTGTCTATTCATGTACAGCAAAACCTTGTTACAAGAAAAAAAATTTTTTTAGAGTACAATTACTAACCGCGTTACAACTAAGTCACGTGATAAATAACCAATGAAAATGCGTTAAAAATCGTATGATTAAAATTCTATGAAAGAAAACATTCATGATTTAAAAATAATAAAACATGATTATTTCTACAATTTTAAATTGTAAGTTTAAACATTTTTATGAAATTCTAAAAAGTATAAATACGAGTCTCATTGTTTGGATGGTTATGTATTAAAAAAAAGTTACAACCATTGTCATCTAAAAATTGAAACTTTATTACAGCTGAGAAAAAAAGAGAAATTTGCTTATCAAAAAGAAATAAACCTCAACCAAAAAATGTTGAATTAGCAGCACAATGTGGGATAGTTCGGGTTATACATTTTCGTGCAAAGTCAATTTTCCCCCGCCGATCACTATGTACAACTCACTCATTCATAGACGGATCGTCAATTAATGATTAATAAAAATAATGATTCTATCTCTGCGAGGACCCGAAGCTATGCTTTTTCAAACAAAGACCAGAAGTTATCCTTTGTTGATCACTACAATAAGGACAAAGATAAAGATGAGTTTATTATTGAAAAGTAACTTAATCAATCAATATTGATATTGTGAAAACTTTCATAATTACTTACACAGTAATTTGATAATAATTATAAAAAGCTTTTGCGTAAACTAAAATTAGTTGACCCTGGAACATAAAGTACCGAATTTTTAATCGATGATTTTATCTACCCCGATCATGTATCACGTTATAAGAAGAAATGTTCGAGTTTAGTAGTAAATGAGTGTATGGGAATTGATTTTGTACTCAGCAAAAGAGAAACCTGGCTCCTTGGAAACAATTGATGAAGCAAAGGAGAGATTGTGATACACAAATAAAAAGACTTTGGAATATATATTATAAGTTTTTTTGGGAGCTTTTAAAGCAATTTTACTTATTTCATCTTTGCAACGAATTTGACGTAATAATTTTACAACTTTGGTAACATTTCGTCAAACAACATTACCCTAAGGTTTACATTGCAATAACATTAGAAAAAAGAGCTCGATTTGACCCATAATTTATAATATTGGGCGCGCGATGGACAATTTCAGTGACATCCGGGATGTCATGATATTGGCCGTTGCGCGCCCAATATCTTATACTTAACGTTAAAAATTTTGAAACTGTCTACTATAACGAAATTGAATTTCACCGATCGATTGATTTTTATATTTTAATGATTTTTTTTTTTAAAAATATTTACTATATATAAGAGTAATGGTGTTTGTTTTTTTTGGATGAAAAAATTTGCTATACAAAATCTTTGGTTCCATAATAAATCGTTGACTACTAATAAGCTTGACCATATTAAACCTAATACTAACCAACCCTTTTTGTAATAATAATAAGTTGACCCTATCAATGATTTTTGATATTTGAGACAATAAAACTCAATGTTCCCAAATAATTACCATGATAATAACGGTAAATTGAAAATGGCATTTTTATTATGTTTGTAATTTGAAATTATTAAAATCTTCATCTATTATTTCTCGACTCTCCCTATTGTTAATGGTATTTCGAATTAAATCATCACTAAAATTAATAGAATTCAAAAATTATCCCAATAAATATCTCATATTGTGGCAAAGTAAAACAACTGTTCGAACATATCTTATACAACAAATCTTTTCCGGGTTTTAGAGCTCTCCATAATGATTTTTTTCTATTGGTAAACTGCTTCAAGACTTGACCAATGATCTCAAAATGACAATTCTAATGTATTAGGAAACTTCTAATTGATATTTGATATCCAAATCTTCTATTTTACTTTATTCATCTAACTTCTGAATGCCTTCCATTTTTCGAACTACTATAGTAATATATCAAACAAAACTTAAGCTTTCTATTAGTATGTGTGGTTTCCTGTTTCTTGTTATACAATACTTATTAGGCAATGGAAAACTCTAAAATCGCTATCTTTTGAACCGGATAGATAGGATTTGGGTATTTTTGTTCAGCTTCCATTTTCACCAAAAAAATTCATTGCATTGACGTGTAAAAAAACCGTCACTTCTTAAATCGCCTTTAACAAAACCCAATAGCCAATTTAAAGTTATATCAAAATAGTTCAGTGGCGATAAAAAAATTATGCTTATAATAAGCACATTATATTATTCGCAATTCAGACGTAATCTGCGTGTATTTTTTTATTATTGTGGATTACAAGTGAGTCCTGAACAATACAAATTTTCTTATTTGCATGCGTTTTCTTGATGAAGTAAGTATAGATAACATGACAGTTGTGTGTTTATTTTTTAAAAAGGTCAAATTTCGGATATCGGATATGATTGAAATAACAAGATTTTTTATTATCATCAAAAAGAAAAAAAACTTCTTTTATAAATTAAACGAGATGAATGTTCAATGGATAGAATAACTCGTGTCAATATTTAGGTATTTAACTCCAAATGATATGATTAAATTTTGACATAGTTTTGGAAACGAATCAATTATCTGCCACAAAAAGAAATTGGAGTTGTATCAGTGACCATGCATAATAAGAAAGCAACCTTTGTTAAAAAATACATGACTCAAGGCAAACCCTCGATTGTTTCTTCTTTCACCGATATCTTTTCTTTTTTCCGAATAATTTCATATAGAAATTTTAATTCACTTCTTGAATAAAACATAGCACTTCTTTGCATGCGCACCATTTTACCAGCTCTTCCACTTTCTTGAATATACTGACCAGAGCTTAAGGGAAAATTATAATACTTGGATTTGGTGTATTAACTAACACCCATATCAAATGCATTTGTTGAATTTCTATAATCATTTTTGTCATTCTAATCTTCTATTTAGATAATGATGGATTTTTTTTTCTTCGGTTAAATCTCCACTGAAATAGATCCATTTCACAACATATATGTTTTTGAGTTCTTCACATATATCCTTCCACTGATATTTTTATAATTACAAATATCTAGAAAATGTTGAAACAAGCAAATGATAAAGATCGAATCACAGCAAGATTATCCTCATCTTTTCACATGGGTATGAACATCCTTTTCTGGCAGTGTTATCATTATTGAAGAATTGGGAAAAGAATATTAATCTGCTATATACACCATTCCAAGCTTTACAAAAATATTGATGTATATATGTAAACATGGCAAGCTTCACCAATTACTAATTGAACCTTAAAAAATTTGGATATTCTTTTGAAAACTTAAATTTCTTGATTTGACTACTCTGTCTTTATTTCCAAAATACTCCTAATTACAAAGAAACCCACCTTATGGAAAATTAGGCACGTAAAAGATACATAAAAGATAAGTATAACTTCATTATAATTGCTTTTCTGAAAATACATGAAATCTTCCAGTGAAAGACCGTATAAAGGTAGGAAAAATGTATGGGTAATTATTGCATCTTTTTAATTCTGGAATACTAACTAATTGCAGTAGCGGTAGATAATGATCTAAAAAAGTACAAATATAAACATAAAAGTTTTTAAGGTCATACTACTGCAAAATCATGTTATTTTCTTATTTACAAAAAAATTTATTATTTTTAAATATAAGTTATAAATTAAGATAATAAATATAAATATAAAAAAAAAAACTAATTAAAAATTAATTATTTTTTTCCACGTCTATTGTTACCACCGCTATTACTTGTTGGAGGGCTTTGTGAATACGAATTTATGTTATTTCCATAATGACCGTGATCACTATTTGCACTAGAAGAACTAAGTCGTCTTCTTGGTTGATTATGATGAGACGATGCTGTTCCGGTAGTTTTATTATTAGATGTGGATGATGTTGTTGTTGTCTCGGTAATTGAATTATTATTATGATGAACACGATTATTACTTGTATTATTTGATATTATATTTCCTCCGTTAACATTCCTGCCATTAGAATTTGGTGTATTCTTTAAAGGATTTGTTGTCAACGATGATGTTGAATAATAAGTTGATTTATCACGAGATCGACGGGATCGACTTGATTGACTACTCAGTCTACCAATTGTTTGATAAGCTATATATATATATATATATATATATGTTTTTTAAAAAAAAAGATTATTATTATTATATAAATATTTAGATATAAAAACACAAAAGGAATTTACTTTGTCTTGTTTTCTCATGTTTATTTTGCACTGCTCTAAAATGATTTAATAATTCTTGAAATTTTATTCCTTCATCTTTTGACGATGACGATGACCCCTTGGTGGTAGTAACACGTTTGGTATCATTTGTAGGTGCACTTTGTTTAAAAAAAATTTTCATCATTATCATTTCAAGAATATGATAATAATTTATAATATATCTGTAATATTTAAGAATTATATAAAACATACCTTTTTGGTATCAAATGCAAAAAACCCATTGAACTAACGCTTGTAAGTCGGTTTTTTAAACTGGCAAATGCTCCACTCTGTGGAAGAAGCATCAATAAGCCATATAAGCATTTAAAAAGATATGGATATTTCTCAGGTTCAAGAAGCTGTAACCTTAAATCTTTATTATATGATGAAATCGTTTTTGCTTAGTATTATTAAAATAATAATAACCATGATTAAGATATTTTAATGAACACTCTACTTACATGTGAATACAGGTGATTCCAATAGTTGAACTAGTTTGTCAATTTGAATAAGTAAATTAACAGTAATATCAAGATCTGCACTATAGTAATATAAATTGTGACAAATAAATTAGGTAAACAAATATATTTACAATGATAAATATAGATATATATATATATATCATATTCACATACAAGCTTTGTAAAAGATTTGCTGCATGCTCATAAGCTTGTGCCAATAAACACAGTGAAAAAGTGGCAACTGGATTATGACACCACGATTTGTATAAAGCAGTGAATAATAGTTGGCCATCTTTTGTTTCTAAATTTTTAAGTCTTTTCCGAAGATCAGAAAGCTCAGGTGAAGTTATAAGGATACTATTAAGATTTTGGACCATACTAGAAGCGAATTCTATATCCTAACGAGAACATTGATTAATTAACTAAGATATTTGCCTTTTAATTAAATAAAATTAAAAAAATAAAAGTATTAAATAAAATGGATAAAAAAATGTATGTACCTCTTCCTTTTCCAAAATTTCCGCAAAACTTCTATAAATTCTTTCAGAGTCAAGACTTAAACACAAATGACGAATAATTAAACTACCTCTGTTTTCTAATAATTTACGATCGGTGCTGAATAATTTTAATAAATCAATCATAAATCGTGTAAAATATTCATCTTCAGAACTGGATGATAATTGAGCAAGAAGTTGAAGGTCACGTTTTACAACCTAAAAAAAAAATTGAATAAAAAAAAATTAGAAAAAGACGATAGATTTTTTTAACCTGAATTTTTTTTTTTATTACCTCTTCAGAAGAATCTGATAAGGTTTTCAATAATGCAGGGAATGTATAATCATCAACAGCAAGTATCTAATTTTTATAAAAATGAAAAAATTTATATTATTATATTATACATATATATAATTTTAAATGCAATGATTTTTCACCTTTTTAGGTGCTTTTTTATGTAGCATTAAAAGCCAATCAAAGCTTGCAATTCTAGTTTCTTCATGATCATCAAGAAATTGATGTACTAATGCATCAACAGTTGCTTGATAATCAAATGGATCATCATGTTCTTGAATGAAGGATAGTTTTTTTATTACTTGTAAATCTTTGTTATTATTATGACTTCTGGGTAGCATAGATGGACTGCTACTGGTAGTATTGGTAGCAGTAGGATTCGATGAAGGATTTGAGGATGGTTTGTTGTTGTTGTTGTTCGTTGGGATTTCATAAATTAATTTATAAAGATTTTTATTTGCTTCAATAGCACTAGTCTTGATACGTAATAAAGTTTAATGTTAAGAATTTAATTATAATTCATAATAATAATAATAATAATAATAAAAATAACGATAAATATATTTGATTAAAGGATATTAGAAGATGAATGAGCCAATGATGGTAAAACTGCACTTATAAGTTGCGGAGTAAATGATATTATGACCTCTTTGGCTAAATTTATGAATGCATTGATCCATTTCAAAGCTGTTGCTTGTATCTCCTCCTCTGTTTTTTTTTTTTTTTTTTGAAAAAGGAATAATAATAATAATCAAAAAACTAATTGAATATGTATTTTTTTTAATAACAATAAATCAAACAGCAAACAAAAAATTCATGCTATTTACCATGTGAAGATAAATGTGGCATCAAAATTTGTACTATTCTAGTGTAATCAATGACAACACCTTGGCCCGGGACCCAAGATCCTTTTCCTCTACCTTCTGGATCATCAAAATCCCATTTTAAATTACCATTATCATCAACTAATAATAATTTACTAATAGCATTATGGGAAACATCACCGTCACCATAATCACCACCACCAATTAAGCCATCATCGCCTGCCTCATTGGTTGTAGTAACTTCGGAAATAGTAGCAGTTAATTGTTTTTGTTGCTCAATATAATATTTTTTAATAGCATATTTTTTTTGTTGTTCATTAATTGTAGCAGCATCACAGATTTCAGCCAAAAAATTTGCTAGGATGTTAGATGTCGCATACCTTATATCTTTATTTGGATCACTTAAAAATTGCAGTAGACCATTCAAAAAATCAGGAAGAAAGGAAACCAATTCCAAATCAGGAATCGAATCTAACACTTTTATCCACGAAACTAAAAAGTTGCGCGTGAAAGGATCCATTACATGTATGCGTTCTGAAAGTAATGGAATGAATTTTGGCAATGAAAATGCAGTTGTTTGAGGAATAGATGTAATATCCGGTGTTGAATCAGTAGTATTGACTGTTGTAAAAGGATGAACAGCAAAAGAAGAAACATATGTTATCGCATGTTCCGCAACAAGATCTTTGATCAATCTATCCAACAATTCTGCTCCATTTTTAACAGAAGGATCTGTATCAGCTGCCAACTATATAAAATACAAAGTAAATAAATTGAATTAAATCAATGAAATGAGACAATTTTAGCAGGTAACTCTCCCCCAAACACGCTCACTCTAAATAAAATATATTAAATATTCTCTTCTTTAAAAAAAAAAGAAAAAACCTAATGGATTTATTTACCTTGCTCATGGCATCAAAAACTTCATTGAAATATATTAAAATTTCACCTTTGGATACTTTTGCAATATTATACATACTTTCACATGCGTAATATCTTACACGTGAATCTTGATCAGCAAAACACGATAAAACTGGTGGAACTATTTCGTCTAGATATGTAGCTACATCCTATAATGTATTGCATATATAACATAAATACAATAATTAACAAAGGAATTAAACATGTATAGATTGTAGTTGTTGGTAGGATATAAGGAGAAATGAAAAACGTACAATTCCTAATGCTATAGATGTTGCAGCCAAACCAATCAATCCACCACTCTTTGCATAATTATTCGTAGAATAAGTAAAATCTTGCACAAGTTTTCTAACAATAGCTCTAACACGTTCAGTGTCATTGTTTGAAATTGAATCGCGAACAAGTCTAAAAATTAAAATTGTAAAAATTTAATAAAAAAATCAAAAGAAATATCCTTTGTATAAAATAAATAAATGAATTAATCAATCATTTATATGGAAACCAAGCAACAAATTCATTGTTCATTACTTTTCAATTTCTAATGCTGCGGTCTTCCGCTTTTCATAAACTCTATCATTTAAACCTCGAACAATTTGAATAAAAAGCACAGGAACTTCTGTCATTGAATTTTAAAATAAAATTGGGAAAAATTCCTTGTGTTTAATTTTCTTTGGACATTTTTGAGTAAATGTTGCACGATCATCGTGTAACAACTACATGACATTGCAACAAAATTAGCAACAGGATATTAGTATATATATCAAAACCTTTATGTGCATTATTTTACCCTGGCTATAAAAGGACCTAAAAAATTTTTGCTCTCAAGTCTACGTTTTGTATGGTTTTTTATCCTGGAGGCTTCTGGGACCTCAATTAGAAGCCTGAAGCAGTGGAGGCAAAACACTCCTTGTTTTTGCACTTGATGTACACGTGTAGCGTAGATCCCACTTTGTAAAACAATTGACATTATGAAAATCATTCCATACCTGACGTTTTCCTCTAAAAAAAAAAAACTAGCATCAGTATTGAAAAATTCAGTGTGGGGAATGCGAAGAGTAACGTTACATTCCAATCAAATTTTTGAATTTTCGGAAGATATTTTCTAAATTTATACTAGTTACACAGCAAAACTGACATATTAATGCAAACCTCGAAAGCTGATTGGTGAATGTTTAGGCATATCGGACATTTGTATAATACTAATACATATCAGTCAGTATTAGTATTAATAATTACAGAATTAATTGGCAAAAAGATAAAAATTTGATTGGCCCGAGTAAATTACACAAAAATTTAGTGAAACATATTTTGCTGGCCCAATAATTTTAACCGGAAGCAAACTTTTATTTATCTTATTCAAGACGTAGACAATAGGAACAAGGTCTAGTACTACTATTGAGATTGTTTTTATTGTCCACGCCCATTAATCATAGAACAACCACCTTGTTTCTATTATCCACACCCATTTATCTAATATATAGTAAGAAATAATTATATATAGAGCAACTAACTACCTTGTATTTATTTATCTACGCCTATTTATTTAATATTATACAAACCACAATTATTAAACGACTAATTACTACCTTTTGAAATCACTTTTTTGTTGCTACTGGCTTTATTATATTCAATGGGCAAAAGGAATAATTTAGTTATAAATTATAATTATATATACACATTAATTGATCAGATTAAATGAAATATCAATGTGAAAAAATCATTCAATTTTGGATATAGTATTAAAATTATCTATCTGGATAATGGCACAAAGATACATTCCTATGTTGTTTAGTCCTATAATTTGGAAGCTACATGAAACTCTCGTCATGATTTTCTTTTTCCCTAACATTATTATTAGATCCTGGTAGCCATGACTTTTTAACGTTAAAGACTTGCTTTTAAAGAACAAATTGTTATTGGAAAGGCCGCATCACTTTCTAAGTGGTGACTTGTTTTTCGATCATCTGTCTAAATGCATGAAATGCTATCCATGAACCATCCAGCGAATTAAGACTTTGTTTCTTGTTCCATAACTAAAAATTCACGCCAAGCCTTTCTTTCTCCGGGGTTATCTGGCTTAATTCAATTTGTTTTGCTTCAGCTTTATTTGTTAATCTTGGGCTTTTCTTTTCTTAAATCTTGAATAATCTCTTCTGCTTAGTTATTTGGCTTTTTCTTGAATTATATGGCTGTCAAAAAGGCCAAGCGTTTCAGAGGTTTTATAGAAAGTTTAATAGCGTAAAATTGCACAGGAAGCAAATTATGATATAGATAGTCCCTCTTTTCCTCATTTTGTTTGTTATTTTAACACTTTCACGAAAGATATAATAGTAAACAGCAATGAATGCCTGCTTAGGAAACTTCTCTTAAAATAATTAATGCTAGTTTAATAATCTGGCAAAAGTGATTACTACGAAGGTTCGAATAGAAATAATAACAGAATGTGTATCATTTGAAACATATATATTGTTTTTTTTTGCCAATCCTTAGTTATGCGTCTCATTATTAATATTCATTTTGATTTTGAAGTTTTATTTTATTTTACATGTTCATATCACTTTTTACATAGTTTGATAATAATTATGAAAATAAAAACGGTAAAACTGATATTATTATATCGTATATGTATAATGCAAATGTGGCCTGTTCATTTTGTTATAAATATTATTGATTGATGCCGCAAATATGATTTTCCCATCCATGTTTGTTGCATTGACAACTTTACTCTATCACATTATGAATTAAGATTATGCGAAGTCAAAAGGCGTAGATCCTAAAAATTTCAAAATTAATCGCAAAGAGTGAAACTGACAAAATATTAAACGTTGCTATTCAGTTAATTCTACGATTTTGATATGTTTATTTTTAAAAAAGTCTTATATTGTAAAATTCATTATTTTTAAAATTGTATATACATACAATAAATTAAAAAGTGTTATTATCGCAGATTAAATTCAGCATTATCATTATATATTAATGTGACTTTATCAATCCCCGTCATAGTAACTAACAATAACCAATCGCAACTCATGCCCTGTTATTACTATGAATAGCTATATAGTAATCAAGATCAGGCCTATATCGACGAGTTAAAATAAAAAGATGAATTCGCAAAAGGCTTATTTATTATTTACAAATGATATGTACATGATTGACAATCCTTTTGAATACTATTATCAGTACTATCATAAATAATCTCGATCGCTCAATCATTAAACCCCCAAGAAAATTCATAGAATGATGAAATAATTGTCAACAAAATATTGTAATTATAGGAATTTGTGCAACACACAATTCAATAAAAAATCTATTTTCTACGTGTTCTTTGATTTACTTCTTTTACTCGCTACAATTTATAATTAATTTACAAAATAAAATGCAAAACCTTCGTAATAGTGTTTTACTATCTACTTGTCATAGATATTATAGAAGATTGTTGATCGGAAGGCATAACAATCACAAGGTATTAACAAGATCACAAGGTACTAATTTATATGTACTCAAATGTATATATACATATACATATATATATTTATTTATTTATTCAGTCAATAATAATAATGGTGTATCAAATTAGTGGGCGAATTTATGAAATTTTGAATTAATATGTTCATTATTATTTCTTTTTTTTTATTGATGGGTTATTTTAGAAATTTTTTCATACTACTAAAATATCCTTTGAATCACAAAACTCACCTCCCCCTGCTGAAGGATTTATGCGTGAAGTTTCTTATTCAAAATTTATTAAGAGTACTCAAGATGATGCTTTGAAAAATCCTGAATTAGTAAATACTGGTGTTTCTAATGGTAATTTTCCTTTTTTTTTTTTTTTGTAAATCAATGTCAGATTTAATTAATTGAATTTTTCTTGTATTAAAAAAAAAGGCGAGACAAAGAAAATGAATTTATTTCAAGCAATAAATGATGCTTTGAGTATAGCATTAACGACTGATGAAACTGCTGGTAAATATATATATATATATAAGGATTATATGTTTATTTATACATGTGCGTGTGATACTTTATGATTAAATAACCTTATTTATTTTTTTAATATCTAAAGTGGTATTTGGTGAAGATGTATCATTCGGTGGAGTTTTTCGTTGTACATTAAACTTGGCAGAAACGTTTGGTATAATTAATTAATCAATTAATTAACTATTAATCAAATTTATTAATTTAGAACAAATTTTAAATACATACATACACTTCTATTTTTAAATAGGTAAAGATAGAGTATTTAATACGCCTTTAACAGAACAGGGAATTGTTGGCTTTGCCATTGGTATGGCGTCAGTGGGTCATACTGCTATTGCAGAAATCCAGTTCGCTGATTATATATTTCCTGCTTTTGATCAAGTAAACTCAATTAATAATCTTCAATTTGCATATACACATTGTTTGATTCCTTAATATTAACACAACCCATTTATATATATAGTTGGTAAATGAAGCAGCTAAATATCGATATCGTTCAGGTAGTCAATTCGATGTTGGTGGTTTAACAGTTAGAACGCCTTGTTCGGCTGTTGGTCATGGTGGTCATTATCATTCTCAAAGTCCAGAAGCTTATTTTGCTCATACACCTGGTTTAAAAGTAATTACAATCATATTTTTTATATTATAGATGGTTTTTAAATATAATTATTCATATATTTATTTAATTTAAAAGATTGTAATTCCTAGAAGTCCCATACAAGCTAAAGGACTTTTATTGGCTTCTATAAGAGATAGAAATCCTGTACTATTTTTCGAGCCAAAGATATTATATCGTGCTGCTGGTCAGTTTACTAACTATCTATCAATCAATAAACATTATTATTGTTATTATTATTATTATTATTCATATATACATTATATATAATCAGTTGAACAAGTACCAGTAGGAGATTATGAATTACCAATAGGAAAAGCGGAAATTCTCAAAAAAGGAAAAGATGTTACAGTGGTTGGTTATGGATCACAAATTTATATTCTTGAGAATGCAATAGAACGAATAGAGAAAGAAATTCCTGGTCTATCATGCGAGTTGATAGATCTGAGATCAATCTTGCCTTGGGATAGTGAGACTGTTGAAAACTCGGTAAATAAAACTGGTAGATTAGTAATTGCTCACGAGGCACCTCAAACATCTGGTTTTGCTGCTGAAGTTATTGCCACTGTTATGGAAAGATGTTTCTTAAGACTTGAGGCTCCTATTCAACGAGTCTGTGGTTGGGAGTAAGTAACATTGATTTTAAAAAGTTAATTAAATTAATTTGTTGATGGTTTTTTAATCATTTTTAAATGTTTTTTAGCATACCTTTCCCGCTTGTCTATGAAAAATTTTATTTGCCAGATGCTACAAGATGTTATGATTCCATTAAGGAAGTATTTAATTATTAGTATATTTGTTCGTCATGATACTACTATAGAAAAATATATTTATATTGCTTCTTTTTCCTTGTAACAATTTTTATTCTTATAATTAATTTTTAAATGATTAATTATTTATTATGTAATTATAATTACAATATAAACTACATCTACATCAGCTTTAGCACTAGCTGTGACCACATCTACATTGGTGATATGTATTTTGTATTTCCTTTTTGATCAATGTTAGAACACCATCCACCATCTATTATATGCTGCTGTTCTGTTTTTGTTTATGAATTTACTGTCTTGTTTGATCCCGTTGAATCAACGTTGAATCACCAGTCATTATTGGTCGAATTAATTCTTTATTACCATCATCAATGCATCAATGTGACTGTTGACACTTCTGCTACTAGAATTGAATCGTTGTGACTCAGGTGTGAAACTTGTTTGTCATATCACCATATCATATATAATCCAACAAGGTGTGATAGTGATAATATACCCAATACTGAATTCACGTTAAACACACTACCAACCAACAACATCTTCTGGTTTAATAACTTCATTTATTAATTTATTTTTGAAAACATCATCCCGAACTCGTGAAGAAATGCATTGGCTCCAACCATCAATATTGCTATTGCTTTGTTGGGTTGATCGACATTCCAGAATGAGAGCTGATGTACGATAGATTTATTGTTATTTTGATTGTGGATAAAAATCTGAATGTGATATACTATATATAATAGATTAATACTTGGATATTTATATTTACTTGACGATCCGCGAAATAAATCAGAAAAAGGATAACTATTAATATCGTTTAACGTTGAGATAAGATGGAAACGATGCAATTTATAAATATAATTGCTAATATGAAAAGAGACAAATGTTTGTAAAGACAAAAGATTCTTTCTTATTACGGAAAGCTGATATTGATGAAAGGTTTATAAAGTAACATACTATTCTAGTAAATCTTATTATAATTAAATTAAATTGATGTCAACAGTGATACAATAACCAAGTCATTGCAAAGATTTTGGTAATTAAAACTGGTCACAATCGTGAATTATGAACCGAGTAATTTTTATCAAGTCCAATATCAGCCGGCATTTATTCCATAATTATCAATACGTTCAAGTCCCATTTCTTATACATTGATGATAAATCAAATGTATCTTTAGATTGTATTTAAACTTGATGTAATATTATAAGATTAAATCATTATTGTAATGTTTCAATAATTCACAAATAAGGAAATTAAAATATCAGTTACTACGTATAATAATAATGATGATGTTATAATATGCTTCATTAATCGTTTGGTATTCTAATTAATTCTTCTCTATTTATAAATCAATTTTATCTCGTTCGTAATATTTATTATCATAAATAAATAACAATCAAATGTTTGATTGATCACTCACTATCTTTTAACACACATTGTGATTTCCATTTTAGAAAATTATTTAAAATATTTAGAATAGTTAATGGGAATTAATAAAATTCCAGTGTAACATGCACATTTAGTATAATAATTTAAAAAACGCCAATCTTGCGAATTCTTAAATTTTAATATATACAAAAAATATAAATCTAATAAAATAAAATTTCTCAAAAAACAATTTCAATGATTCAAAATCTAATGACCTTGAAGCTCGCCCCAGAGACAATTGATATAACAATTGTGTTTCGTGTTTTTATTGGCTTTATGTTTTTTGTAATTAAAATTTACAAGATGACTTTTTTTTTTAAAGGAATATTTCTTGCGATTAATTAAATCGGGTTTTTTTAAATTGCAGGTGATACTGTTTGTAATAACAGTCACGTCCAGAATTACGGCGCATTCAAAGGTGTTATGGAACCTATTCAACATATGGTTCCTGACCTTCCTCTTTACCATTACATATAAGTGAGTGTATCATTAAAAAAATTTTTTTTTTTGGAAACAGAATTAGTTATGATTTATCTTTAAATAAATTTTTGGGCAGCTATACCATCGAGGAGGAACTACTCTACTTTGGTTTTTTATCGATGATACTAGTTATTTTGCTCATATTTGTGTAAGAGATATTTCTTTATTTTGCTAATTATTAAATATAATCACGATAATAACAATAGTATTTTTATATATTAGGATTATGTACGTTTTAAGGAACACTGAATCGTCCTATGAACGACTCGAATGAGCTGAAAAATAAAAATGAATCGTTTATTATTATTATTATTATTTTATGACACGGAAATTTTATTTTATTTTTGTAAATTCAAGTAAATTCATTAATTATAAATTATTCTTTTATTTGCGCTTTTCTCCTTTCTTGTCCATTATCGTTTCATCAAATCATCATAAACGAAATGTTTTAAAGAACCATTTTTAAACAATAAAAATTCTAGCCTAGTAGATCTAATCTAATTAGGGCTCGAAGCTTCAAATATTTGCTAATAAAGTTCCTATATCAAGGGCGCCTCATCATTTTATTACGTGAACTGGTCAATGTTGATAAGTGGGATTCGAAGTTTTTTCCCAAAATTTTTTGTGGTACAGCTCATATAACCTACTTATATTCTACACAATTATAAGTATAGGGAGTTAGCGCATAATATATGCACAATTTGCATATGTTTTTAATATGTTAACCAAGTATACGCAACTAAATTGTACGTAGAATATTTGCTACTAGTTTTCCCGATGCAAGTGACTTGCACTGTAAGAAAAAATCAATTGATTGGAAATAAATTATAAGTTACATTCATTAATTGCCTAAGGCGACCTTGATTATCATAGTATTATATTGATTTTTCATGTACGTATATAAACTTGTTCGCTATTTAAATTTTCAGGTTTAATTTTTGTTTTAATTCGTTAATATTTCTTTACATTATTAGAAGAATCATTTAAATTTTTTTTTTAATGATGAATTTCCAAACATAGGCAATGTTATATTTGAAAACAAATACAATAAGAATTGGTAATATTAATATTGCTTGATAATCTGTTTTCTTTACTCCGCGCAGATCAATCAGACAAATAAAAGAGAAACTACTATATATATTCAGTATAAAAGGATTTTCTCATTCATAGAATAAATAATGAAATCTTTATAAAATAAAAATTTTCAAAAAAACTTTTCATAAAGTTATGACTCAAAATTTAATGCTTGACCCAAAAACAATCGATATAACGATTGTTTTTCGTATTTTCAGTGCATTTGTTCTATTTGTAATTAAGATTTATGAGATGATGATTTTTTTTAAAAGGAATATTTCGCACGATTAATTAATTATTTTTTAATTGCAGCTTATACTGTTTGTAATAACAGTTACCTCTCCGATTAGAGTACATTCTAAAGTACTATGGAACCTATTCAACATATGGTTCCTGACCTTCCTCTTTACCGTAACTTACAAGTGAGTGTATTATTAAATGCTTTTGTTTTGAAAAAATTAGTTATTATTTTATAATGCTTATTTATTTATTTATTTTTAAATAAATTGTTAAATAGTTACGCCGCTGAAGAGGAAATGTTTTATCTGTGTTCACTACTTGGGACATTGACAGTTTTATTGATTTTTTTGTAAGAGATAATTTTTCCGATTTTTTTTATTTTACTAATTTATTAAGCATAATAACGATAATAACAATGGTGTTTTATATATTAGGATTATGTACGTTCTACCTAATTCATCACAATATGAACAACTCGAATGAGCCGAAAAATGAAAAATGGACGATTTATTGTTATTATTTTATTACGACATAGAAAATTTTTTTTATTTCCGTGTAAATTTAATAAAGGATTCAAGTAATTCAATTAATTATAAAATTATTCCTTTGCGCTTTTTTTCTCGTCCGTAATTGTTATTATCGAATGAAATACAGGCTATTCCCGTTATAAGGACACTCATGGGACAAGCAAAAAATGTCTGTATAACGTGATAACTGGAGTTCATATAAAATCACATGACTTGAAAAATGATTATAAAATTTATTGTTATCTGATTTTGTCGTAGTGATTTGAGTGATTTGATTGGTTCTCTCGTTGTACTGACATGTCCTTATAACGGATGTCACTATAACGGGACACATAATGAATGTCATTATAACGGGAGTAAATTTATATTTATAAAGTGTGTTTTTGAAAAAATGTCACTATAACGAGATTGTCACTATAACGAGCTGTCCTTATAACTGGAGTGACCTGTATCTGAGGAATGAATGATACAGCGCGATTCCAGAAATTTTATTGGCCTTGTAGATCCTCAGATTCCTAAACAAGCCGCCGATCAACGATAGAGATTTTTAATATGCAGATCTCTTAAATTTTGGATCACAGAATCCAAATTCTTTAATAATGCTTTTGATTTATAGTGTAATTGCCAATTTGGATAATAATTATACTTTACCTAATGGTATGAGAACCGTAAGGAATGTAAAAATCATATGCAGGTTTCTTGAAGTTGTTGATTGTTGTGCAAATCGATTTTTATCATTGGAACCTGATTTCTTGTCACAAAAATCACAATCAGAAGAATAATAGAAATGCAAGACATAAAATGGTATTTTATCCCAAATATCACTGTGAATTAAAAGTTCGCCAGAAAGAACTGTGATTATTCATTTAAAGAATTACAGGTAATAGTATCACTTTGTAAAATTGTAAATTAATTAATTGACAAGCACCAAATTAACTGACAAGAGTTGCCCAAAAGTTAAGCCATATGTGCTAAATAATTATAATAACCAAAAGGCCACTTTGCAATATCGCCTTTTAACAAGAATTAAAAAAAAACTGTAAAAGTTTATTATAATAATTATTTGAATAATTATTTATTATATAGTGGAGATTTATCAATTCTTTCTACTATCATTGCCAGGATCCAATGTTTATTAATCAATTAAAAAATATTTTTAGTAATAATTAATAGATAGTAATTTCCAATTAATGAACTTTTATTCATCTTCAACATTTAAGAGAAGAGAGTTGAAATCACTTTGATAACTTTTTGATTTAGCAATTTCTATGCATCTGAATGTGATTTGTGCACTTGTTGTGGATCACTACTACTATCAATATTATCATTATTATTATTATTTGAAAAGTTCTCTAATAATTGGTCTTTTTGATGGATCCACATCCCAACGCTTTTGCATCATTTGTGCATAATCATTGAGCATTTCAGGCAATATTGATGGCTTAAACCTTCACATATATCAAAATTAAACAATGATTATGAGCTCTATCATCAAATGGTGGATGACTGCAAATATTTCCCACATTAACATTCCAATATTATAAACATCTAATTCTCACTATGGATTAAATCTTTTTAATGTGATGCATTATATAAAATAATGAAGGGTCTAAATAATTATTTGTAAATAATTTGTATAGAATTATTTTTTAAAACGAATAATAAATAAATTACGGACAGATAATCTCATCTATCCGAATGTTCCTAAACATAAATGGCAAAAAATAAATTTCATTAACAATGTAAATCGTTACGCTAATAGGATTTATTTATTATTATGGTGTAATAGACAAACCGTACTTATTATTATTATTATTTTTTTACAATAAAAAAAGTTTTCATTCCAGAAAATACTATTTATTTTCACCATGTATTATAAATTCATCTTCATCAATATTATTATTATTGTATTGGTGTTCTCATCAACTTCAACTTATTCTGCTTTAACTGAACAAGATATTGATTTCGCTTGTCAAAATGGAACAAGTTTAGGATGTTGCCCTCTCCTAGCACACCGGATTGCTTCTCAACACCATTCACGTTGTGCAACAATTATTCTTATAAATAATACTGGCTATAATATTACTTTGGCCGCTTCCAGTCTTGAAGATGGTCGTTGGGTTACACAGTATGATTATGACGGCGACATCGACATAGATTGCATGCCACATTCTCTTTTAGGTGGACAATCCGAGGCTATTTCTAGTGTTTCAAGTCATTTTCTCGGTGGAATAAAAGGTTATCTCTTCTTTGAGATTAATGATGCTAATTCAAGCAATTTTCTTATCTCCTGGAATGTTCCAATAATCGGCTCCCCTGTATATTCCAGTTATGGACTCTCTGAAGAAATGTATACCATTAAGTCCCAGAGAAGCCTTAGCAATACAGTTTATTATGTTACAGTTGATTCAAAATCTAATTGGAATAATTGGAATATAATGGTACTCTCTTTTCCATTCCTCATTTTACTGTGCTGTTGTTCCGGTTTTGTGAAAGACAACTCACCTAGAGAGCAAGAATCTAATTCCTTCGGACAGCAAGGACAACAATTTTATAATGCCTTCATACAGCAAGGACAACAATCTTATAATGCCTCCGGACAGCAAGGACAACAATCTTATAATGCCTTCAGACAGCAAGAACGACAATCTTATAATACTTTTGGACAGCAAGGGCAACAATCTTATAATCCTTTCATACAGCAAGGGCAACAATCTTATAATCCCTTCATACAACAAGGACAACAAGAAAAACATACTTCAGAAGCTGTTTGATGTTCTTTTATGTTTCTTCAGAATGAAGAATTTTTGTATAGCACTATTTTAATAAAAATATATAAACACATGATAAATTTTCCGCATCTTCTATTGGATCATTTACTAACAATTCAGTGATAACAAACCTAAATTTAGGATAGAAGAAGATGTTTATTTTCATGGATTCTGTTAATAATGATGTTAGTCCTGTTTCCCTCGTAAAAGCAATTTGAGTAATAAGAAATCTATCTTTTTGGATAGGTTTCCTTTGTGCCTGATATCCTTTGGAAAAGATTCTTCGGGAAAATCCCTTTTACGCAATCTGCCATGAAATATACTTTGATAATTTTGGAATTTCTTACATACAGTATCAAAAAAAAAAAGCGGAATCTTTCTAATAATGATTGAATGAAAATAGATAAAAATATGTCAAAAGAAAGTTGAAAATCGAAGTTTTTATTGATATAAATTTTATACTTTTGGTTACTTTAATATTAGGCAACAATGTTAGTTTTTGTCCATAAAAATCAGCAAATCCATTTCTAATTATATCGTTCCAATTCTCGCTTAACAAACATTGTTGAATAATCGCTGACAAACAGCATATTTTTAAGTTGAAGCCCTTATGAATAAATTTGAGCTTAAAATAATTGATTTTCAAAAATCCCATTTAAATCACATCAGCATCTTGACTTTTGCGATAAGTTCAGGGATGATATCTATACAGCATGTAGCAGCAATTGGTTGCTAGAAAGAACAAAATCATCATTGCACCAAAATTTATAGTTTTTTTTTTGTGTATTAATTAATATAAAGACATTTTTCCCGATTCCTATTTCGGAACAAACCCAGTTATAATAATAACAAAATCTGTATCAGGTTTTGGTTCCCGCTTATTAATGTTATTCATGGTTAAAAAATAATGATATTATAGAATGGAAGGTGGCGCTTTTCACTCTAGCTTTGTCAAGAAGGCGGGTTTATATAAATCTTGCTCTAAAAATATGATTGATGTTCTAAAGCCATTGATTATTCTGATTTTATGTTAAACATTACCTTGATTGAAAATATTACTCTGATGTACTTATTCCAGAAAAAAAGCGGACCGAAGATGATGATAAAATAATTACTCGCATGTTTTTACGACATTTATTAAAAAATTATAATTTTTGTGATTATAAATTGTTGATTTGATTTATTAGTCTCCGCTTAAATTTTTTTGCAAAAATATTCATATACATAACCGTTTAAATATTGGTATAAGTATTGAGATTTTTTGGCCGGTTCCAGCTAAGCTAATGCTCGAAAGGATTGAATTTTTCAATCGGAAACGAATCCGAAGCCAATCCTAATTTATGGTTTGTTTGAATTGGTTTCGGATTGGCTTTTTCCTCCAATCCGATCTGAACCGCTCGGAGCTTTAATGATAATAATAGTACAAAAAGTATTAGTGAAATCGAGCAAGTCGATTAATTCACAATAATATAAATTTTGTTGATACCCATGATTCAAATTCTGTTTTATATATGAATGCGATGCATAATGGTTTTCAATGCAATTGTCTCCAACCGTATCACGAATCATGTTATTTAGGTCGTGATTTAGGCACAACATATATGCAACACAACAGTATTGGAAAGACAGAACAGGACGATCAATTAAAACCACGAGAAAAAGAATACTGAAAAACTGACTACAGCAACAATTTCAATAAAGGTATCTCGACTATATTTGAACTATATTATATAACATAAATAAAATGAAGCTTTTACAAAATAATAGATAATACATAATAATATATAATATTTAAAAAAATATAGAAAGAATCAAGAATATGATATCATCGAAAAATTATGTACAATCACAAGCCCACATGAAAGTAGTAGCAGAGCTACATTGTGGGTAACAGCCAGTACAAGTTTTAGTACAACCTGGATTCGTAGCAGCAGAAGCGGAGCAGTCCCATCCAGAGACAGTGAGATCTTGTATTGCGCAAGTACCACTTGAAGTGATGGAAGTAATTGCACAAGGAAAGCAAGAGACAGGAGCACGCTTGTCCAAAGGATTAGCAGGTGAAATTACTGGAGACGCCGAAGCAACGAAAAGAAAAATCGAGAGAACCAAGAAGAGTTTGAGACCCATTGGAATCTAAAGAGAAAAAAGAAAGCTTAACAACAACATATGGTATGAATGGATAGATGAAAAATGATGAGGAAATGTACTGACCATAAAGAATCTTGACATAGTGAATAAAATAATAACAAAAGTGGAAAAATAGATTATTATATTGTTAGATCGTTAGATTGTTAGATTGTTTTAGATTGTTAGGCTGTTAGATTATTAGATTGTTAAGTTGAAATCAAACGATTGAAAAAACAAATTTTGGAAGAGCAGAAAACAATCTTATATATAGCAAATGAGCAATTATAAATGCAGGAGAGTCAGTTATTATAAAACCAAAAAAGCTTTGATAAAAACCTAAGCCTGTATCTAGTACAAATCAAAAATTTCGATTATAGTGTTACACGCGCCATTTTCCCTCACTAGTTGAAGGAACTTTCATAAATGTAATTACCAAAAAGGCAGAATTCAACATGCATGTTGATGGTGATTGAAAAAATAAATAAGGAGAAAAGGATGGATGTCAATTGTCTTGGCGATTGACATAACACCTTTAATCTTATTGAAATAGAAATACTTTGTTATTTTGCTTTCTAATTAGCAGTTATCCGTATTTCTAATTTAGCATTTTTGATAATAATTGGTATTGTTCTTTAAAAGCCACAATAACATGAATATTTTAAAAACCATTACACGATCAAAGATAATGTTTTTTTCTTAACAATCGAAAAAATGATGGTTTGCTAAGATCCTCTCATTAACTGATCAAAGAAGCCCTTGGGAAGGATAAACATTTATTGTTTGGTTTAAAGAATAAAGCTGTTGGTTTCTCTGGCATATCACATCATAATAGAGACTATTATATACAACGAACCATTTTTCATGAAACTGCAATTCCTTTTCACAGGTAAAATCACCACATCAATCATCAAATTAATCCTTAGTTTTACTCGAATAAGGTTTATTCAAATTTTTTGTCTTGTTCATTAGTATTCGAATCACATTGAAAGTTTATTCAAATAAAACAAATAGAACGAATAAAATTGATAAACAAATAAAATAACTAAAACAAATAAAACAAATAACCGAGTAATAAGAATTTGTGTTAAAAGGGTGTATGTTTAATTAAAAAATCATGCCGTTTAGGGTATATGCCAAGTGTACATCTGCAATAGTACAAACAGTACTGTGACACCTAAAAATTTATATATAGAATAAAGTTCATTGACACTCTTAAATTGGGACGATGATTTTTCATAGATGCTCTAAATTAGGGATTGTAGTTGTTCCTTAATCTTTTTTTTTATCAATGCTATTAAATTGTTTTAAATGAATTACATCTGGCGTCAAACGCAAATTAACCTTTTTTGACATTTCTTGAATTCCTTTTTTAGCCTCTTTGCATATAAAACGTTTAACAATACAATAATCTATTTTTATTACTTTATTTATTATTACTTTATTTATCATGCCGAAATTTTTATGGTTAGTACATTTCCTCTTCATTTTCCATCTATCCATACGTTGTCAAGCTTCCTTTTCTCTTCAGATTCCGATGAGTCTTGGGGTTCTCAAGTTCTTCTTTCATTGTTTCGATGTCTTCAGTTTCCCCCGTTAATATTTTGGATAAAAGCGCGGTCCTGTTTCTTGTTATTCTTTGTGCAATTACTGCCATTTCTTCCACCGGCAATTGCTTATTTCAGGGTATCACTGCATGTTACTGCTGCGAATTCGGGTTGTACTAAACCTTATACTGGTTCGAGCTTGTGATCAGTGTGTAAATTTCGTCGTGTAACTAATGCAGATTTCTACAAATTTAGAAATCATCTGCAGAAAATTACTAATGTGTAACGTGATTCCGCCCTCTCAATTTTACTCACTGCTTGTGATTGAACTTAATTTTTCAATAATATTATGTTCTAGATTCCTTTTGTATTTTTTAAACCTCTTTATGTGTTATTCTGATGCATTTATTATCTATTATTTTGTAAAATTTGTAAAAGCTTTGTTTTATTCATATAATCTACAATATAGTCGAGAAACTTTTCTCGGAACTGCTGTATCCTTTTTCTTGCAGTTTTAATTTATTAAAAGTCTAATGAGCTTAATAAATCTCAATTGACGAAAAACCTTTTCAGATGGTACTAAGCTTGCCGGTATCATTATTATAATTATTACTATTGTTATTATAATATCTCGCCTTTAATGGTTCAAATTATTTGTTTTATTCGTAATGAATTTGAGTATTCGAATTACATTGAAAGTTTTATTCGAATAGAACTAATAATAATAATTCGAATAGAACGAATATTTCGAATAGTTTGAATAAAACGAATAGAACGAATAGTTTGAATAAAACGAATAGAACGAATAGTTTGAATAAAACGAATAGAACGAATAATAATAATTCGAATAATTTGTATTACGAATAGGGGCTCTATGACTTTTATCCTGCTATGATGCATATTGTATTTTGCTTTTGAGTAAATGTATGTTTTTTTGTCATTCTATATAGGTAATGTAGGCGGACTCATCTCAACTAAATGTCTATGACATTGAATTCTGCACTAAAATTCCGGACGTAAAAATGAATGTCAAGAAAAATTTTTTTTAGCCGGTTAACATCACTAATTTAGAAAAGACTTGAATTTTTATTAAACAAACAATAAAAATTGGATTTTTAACTGAATTAGTTCTATTATATCAAATGATTGACGCCAGGACACCAGATTATTAGAATTGAGGCTTTGATGATAATGGCTTTTTGTGAAAATTTTGGGGTAAAGGACTTTAAAGGTTGACTATTTTGGGTATAGCAGAAATGTTTATTATATCCAAAATCAGGTAAAGCAATTTTTAATTAATTGTGTGTAAAAAAGTAAAAATAGAAAATAGATAAGGGTCAGGGCTGGAAATTTCTCCTGAATTCATGAGCATTTTTAAAGGAAAATCCGGATTTATTAAGGATTAGCGAAGAACATCAACAACTATATATTAATATGGTAATACAATGACTAGTAGCCAAATATTAGCAAGAGAAAAATACAAAGATGAAATAATTGCCAAAATGAAAATAAAAACACAAGATACAAACAATTTAACATATATTTATGCAACTGAGATTTATGTGCCTATACAAACTATTGAATAATTGACAAACGTTCATCAGTATATTTTACAAACTTCTTTGGAAGCTTCGCACATTGCCATACATCTTGTATTTAAAGTTACTTCCAGAAACTTGCAACTTATTCTCAACTCTACTTTTTCTATTGAATTATTTTGAATTTTTTTTTTTAGATTACGCAAGATTACATCTTGAAATATAAGGCTCATTTTTCCATTACTAGTACTCGTCTCGGGGTAAGACATGCATGCAATGGCGAATCAATGTGACTCACTTAAATGTGTTATTAAAGTCCAGCAAGTGAGAGAATGGAACTCTTGCTGGTGGCTCATGCTGAGTGTATTGACATTTGTGACATGACCTCTCTCTTTTGTTAATTGTTTATTTTAATTTAGAAGGAAACATTTTTAAAAAAGAAAAAAATGTTAATTGATTTGATTGGTTATATTTGTAATACATGAAGATCCATCAATTATGAGAAAGAAACAAGTATATATATATATAGCAAAAACAACAATGAATAATCATTTTTTGAGGATGATAATAAAGATTAAGATCCGATATTGTTTCATGAAAATATTCAAGTTTTTCAAAAAAAAAAAAGTGGGGACGACTGTCCTATTTATATGTTTTGGATTTAATAAAATAGACTACTTGGCCCGAGTAATGTCGTTTTCCTGCTCTTTGCGATAAAGAAGATGCAATCCCAAACCTAACTTAAAATAAATGAATTTTTGTTCTTGCGTAGAATGGTGTGCGTGATTTGTAACACGTAAAGCAAAGGCTCGCATTGCGTTCTCAGTTGTGAGCTTGTTTATTTAACACAAGTAATTTAATTTAATTTAACACAAGTAAGAAACGAAACATTTGCCGTGTCATGACCACCTTCCAAAATCAGTAAGGCGAGTGACCTTCATGCAGGTTTCTTGCCAATTGTCTCTTTTTGCGTTTAGCAGCGCTTGGTTTTTTCGGCTTTTGGTGCAATCAACATTTCCACCATATTTAGCAAAAATTGTGTTGTACGGCAAATGTTTCGTTTCTTAATAGATTCGATTCAATTGCAAACGTGCATGCAATGCCTTGCAAGGTAAGGAGAGACATGATCAATGAACCAGCAAAATTCTATCTTTTTCAAACCTAATTTTTTGGGAAGGAATTTTTTTCTGAAATCGATCTTTATTCTTTCATTGATAAACATCTAACATTTATCGTGCAGTAGTAATAAATATCTTTTTTTCCAACCGAAAAGAACTGCTTGGTAAGAATAAAAATTTGGATTATTTTACATTTAAGAGCTATTTAACTTCAATAATTGAATTCATTATTGTTTTTTGTTATTTTATTTTATAATATATGCTACTAATAATAACTTTTTGGTGGTGGCAAAGCATCTTTCTTTTTTCGTTTAATATTTAGTCAGTGCGATGAAGATCATACCGTTGATTTGTTTATTTTACTTTATAAGAAAGCACCATTCTATTATTAAAAACATTTCATTATTATTGTCATTTTGTCCTCTTTTTTTTTGGTTGATTTTGTTATGCGTTTAGTTTGTTAATTGACAATTGTATTAATTACTAAAAATGCTAAAAAACATTTTACAATTTACGAATTATTCATTTGTCCTGTTTTTTGGACCGTACCATTGATTTAGAAAAGCATTGTGTTTTAATTAGTTAATTATTTGTTTATTACTAAAAATGCTAAAAAACATTTTTATTATTATCATCATATGTCCTTTTTTTTTTGGATCATTGATTCATTTACTTTTAAGAAAAGCATTATGTATTTACAATTGAATTTATTATTCGGATACTTTTTAATTGACGATCTGCGAATAAAGGTGTTCGTTACACAAAAATTTTTGAATAAAAGAGCAGTTTCAAATATTTAAACTTTGAATT